TGTTGTATTCTCTCCATGCCCTCAGCCACAGCCCCAAAACCAGTGCAGGTATGCATGGTGTCTGTGCCCGCAGGCATCCCCCTCCAAAAGGAGAGTCACCCTTCACAGAAATGAGAGCATAAACCAGGGGAAATACAGCTCAGACTGGTTTAACAATCAGATCTATAGAGATGTAAAGAGGAAAAGCTGCTTGCTCTACAGCATTCTGGCAGTTGAGATTTATTTTAATCATAGCTTATCAATATTTTCAATAATACAGTGTCTCTCCAGCATTTCAGTATGAACTCTTTGTCAGCTGTACAGCCTATACATGAAAGACAAGTATTCAGTGGGAGAAATTCCTTTATATCATTGGAAGGATCTCTAAAGGGAGAGTTGGGGGCTTGGGGGCTTAAGCTCTGAGGACACAATGGAGATTAAAGGAACACTTATTTAAAAACAACCAAGCAAAAAACCCCAGCAATAATAAGCAAGGATCATGTACAACTTGTTTCTTCCATAGGGCTTAGAATAGTCCAAATATGTTAAAAAGGGTGTCCTAATTTTATGTTAAACTCCTGCTAATTAAGTTTGCTTTAGTAATGATTTCTGTTACTCTGCAATAGAAGCATACATTTTCCTCTTACAAGGAGGTCCAGTAATAATTTAAACTGGGATCTCAGTGGGTTTTACTCACTTGCTCTCTTTCACTTATACTTTGAATAATGACTTCACTGTCAGCTTCCTAAAGAACATCCAGCATCTCTTCGTGAGCATCTTGTGGTTTTACTAAAGCTTCCTTGCTTCTCAAGGGAAAGGATGGAATATTTCTCACACTTTCTTGCAAATGTGACTATGTAGATGTAATACAGAAAGAGATACAGGTTATTTTTGAAAATTGGCTTGACTTTGCTGCCTCTTATGTCTGTATCATAAATATTCTAAGAAAAAGAATTACTCCTGTAAAGTGTCTCATCCTCAGCAGGTTGGATTTGACTTGAAGAACAAGCTCACATTTGCTGAAGTTTTTGTTTCTTTCTCAACAGCCAGATTTATTCAGTTCATGGTTTGTTTTCTGGGTAGATGGCAAATCTCTGTGCTCAGCCTTTAACCAACCAGCACATGGGACATCAAAGCTGTTCTGGATTCCTTTGCCTTCAAAAAGGAGGCAGTCTAGATACAAGTTCCTTAGACCCAAAGGCAGAAATCCTGTGGGACTGCACACCCCAGGAAGTTCCTGTCTCTTTTGCTAAGTACAATTCACCTCCCAGAACAGGAGAGCTGTATGACATTTTATAAATACCTGAAGCTGCTGTGGTTTGTAGTAGGTATTTCCCCTGTTGCCTCCTCTTCACTCCTCCAAGAGATCTTGGCCTGTGGTGAGGGGACCCCTTGCTGTACCTGGAGACTTGTAGAGGTAGCCTGGAAGTTGCCTCTTTGGGCTGCAGTAAATGATTAACAGCTGATTAATTCCTGCAAAGGTGTGGCTAATCTAATCAAATCAAAGGCCTTGAACCCAACTAAAAAGTCCTAATTCAGCTGTTCCTCAGACATTTCTTCCTCTTCATGGCTTTATCCACTCCTCCAGCTGTTGCAGGGCTTGTAAAGGCCCACTGTGGCCTCTGTCTGGGGCAGGCTGCAGGATGTGGTGGAGAGAAGAGGGCTGTGTTTCCTGGATCCCAACTGGGTCTGTGTTGCAAGCTCCAGTAGGAGACTGGAATGAGACTGAACAGGTCTGCCCTGCAGTCCAAAATTCATTGTGATAGTTTAGGTGAATAAACCCATTCCAGAGCATTGCACTGCTGTGAGCTGCAGTAAAACTCTCTATCATTCTCCTGACTAGGGAAGACCAGAGGGATGGTGCTGGAGAGAGAAGGGAGGGGAGAATGAGGAGTGTGGTGTGGACACTGCCTGTGTGTAAAAGGAAACTTATTTTTCACAAGTCAAGCAAACCAGAGGGATAATGTTACAGAACAGAAGCTATTCCATTAAGTCATCAGTAGAACTTCAACCACTTCTGCTGGAAGGGTTGGCCTTGCTGGCTCTTTGAGGTTCCTCAGGGAAAGAAACAATTTCAACACTTTTTATCATAATGAGTAAAGTAACAGTATTCCAGTGCAGTTCCTCCTAGGCTTTCACAATATGAATGGCAGTTGCTGTGTTAGCAGCAGCCTTGCCTTATTCTGTGCTTTTCTGAATTTCCCTCTGCAGGGTGAAACAAGAGGATCCATCCTCACTGCTGCTCCCTGTAGGTGCCTGAATTTGAGTACTGAACGAAGCCAAAACACAAAAGCTTGTGTGAGTGCTGAGCAGGGACCAGCAGGTTTGTAGTCAGCAGAAGCTGGAGAGCTGCAGGAAGATGGCCACTTGCTGGCATCTTTCAGGCTACCCTAAATGTATGCAAGAAAGCAGCAGATCAGGCAAACAACTGGCATGTCTGAATCCCAGCTGTAGGAATAGTCCAGCTGAGTGCAGTGGTACAAAATAATCCAAAGCAGAACATCAAGCCTGTGAGGTCCAGACAAGAAATTGACCCCCTCTACATGGTAGCTGGTCCTCTGCTCCAGAAAGCCACCTGAATCCTTTAGAGGATTGCCTGTTTTTCTTTCCTTCCCTTTCTTTGAGAGTGCTGTGTTTATTCTAATTCAGGAACTCGCAGTGGCCGAGATAAGACAGGAGCCATTTCTCTTGTTCCTCTGCCTGGTATCTGTCAGTGGTTTGACTTGTACCACCACTGGAAAACATGCATTTGTGGCTTTTCCTGTTGAGATAAGGCCTGGCAGCTTGTTCCCAATGACAGCAACCTGTCAGCCCATGGTGTGTGTCCAGCCTGCCAAGCTTCCCCCTGCCTTTGCACAGGCTGGCTCCGTGCTGCTGGAACAGCCCTCAATGGGATGCTGTTAATGTCTGCAGCTGGCACTGTCTAGCACGAGCCTGGAAAGAAAGTGAGCTCTGTTCTTCCCTGGGTCTCGTGACTTAATCTAGATACAAAAACATCTGTTGAGTCTGTCTTTGCAAAAGAGCTTCTGAGGCTCCTGATGCCACTTTGGCACTCATTTGTGAGTGAAAAGAGCAAAGACTTACGTGACAGGAGGTTGGTGTGATGCACCTCTGAATGTTTAAATTGATGCCGTGCTTGAGATTTCCTCTTAACATGCTGGTTGGCAGTGAAAGCTTTGGGACAGCCTAATAAATTTTTTATTTTTATTTCTCTTTTTCCTTGGTTTTTTTTTTTTTACACTTTGTTGTCTCAGTGTAACTGCATGCAGTAGCTCATGCTAGTGCTGTCTGCTCTTGGCAGTTGTCATGTTGTGTCTCAAATATTTATTTCTAAAGAACATCCTCATTTACCACTGGAAAGTTTTTCTTTTTATTAATTTAAAAGTAACACTGGTAGTTTCAGGAATTTAATTTTTCTTATAATTCTTGGACTATTCACTATGTCTCTGGCTGCAGATACATTCCAATGTGCAGCAGTACAAAAATACCAAATACCTAGATCCAGTTTGTTGGCAAAAAATAAAGTGCATTAAATACATAAGAAGCTGATGTAATGTGCCTTTTAGTAATATAGGTGCAGGCAACAGAGAAAATACATTTCTTTACAGAGTTTTCTTTATCTTCTGTACTTCCTGAAGTGTAAAGAGTATTTTAAAGCCCACTGTTAAAACCTTGATGGTTCTGTTCTCCCTAGCTCGATGTTGACTTTGGTACATACACTTAGTTGGGATACAGAGGCAAAAGATGACTTCTCTATATTCATGTAATTGTTTATACCTTCTCACAAAGATGGTTGGTCTCCCATTTGGGGCTGAAACACCAGTGGTTCAGAGTTTAGTGCAGAATTGTGGCCTTCTTGTGCTGTGGAAGTCGTGGCCTGCGCCACAGCCTTGTACATCGGTAAATCCCTTTCGGAAGTTCACCGGAGTGTAAACCAAACATACACATGGCTGCAGCATTGAAAAGGGATTTATTTGCACTTGTTAACTCCAGCCCAACAGCCCATTCTTGGCTCTGCCCTGTCACAGTGCCCGCTGTCAGCTGCTGCACACATACCCTGAAGTGATGGCTCCCATCATGTGTCACTCCTCTGAAATGCCTCTGTGCTTGCTCATAAACACACCCTTGGCATCATGTTCATGTCTACTAAAATAAACTGCACACAGTGCAGGGAGTAAAGCACACAGATCCCTCAAGTAAGGATTGGGATTTGTTCATCTCCTGGAGCTCCCATGCTCTGCAAGAACCTTTCATCTGCAATAAGCAGAAGAGTAGGAACCACAGGGGGTGGAGAGGGAGCATATTGAGCAGAGAATGATCAAAATAAGCCATAGGATTGATGAGTTTTTCCCTTTTGCCTTCATTTTTCTATTTACAAAGAATATTCCACATGACCTGTTTTTTTTTCTTTGGCAATTTCCCATCATCATATCACCAATGAAATGACACTGGGGGCAGCTGTTACCAGCTGTACTCAGAGCCTCAGCTGGCACATCTGGATGAGAAGGTCCACCATTTGTTCTTTCCAGCAGGTATCTCAGCTAAACGTGTCTCCTGCAGCAGATTTGGCCTTGATCCACGATGACCTGAGCAATTGGACCTCACAGTGGTGTCAGTGGGTTTTGCTAATGCCCAGTACCATCCTTCTGGTGAGGAGAGCAGGCAGTGCCTCATGTGTGGCTGTGTGCGTGGCCTCTGCTTTGCTCCGTGGCTCCATGTCCCAGGGGGGATCCTCAGCTGGCCCAGCTGCAGGGCTGTCTTTGGGAAAGCTCTCTCTTTTCTCAGCAATCTGTGTCCATGCCCTCCCACCACATCCTGGCCCAGAAGAAGGACACAGTGATGGTAAAGGAGCTTTACCTTTCTGGTCACAGTAGTGGCTGTCACAGAGAGACGGAATTCCACGCTGTGATTTCTGGTCCTTTGAGTCATGTTAGTTAATATTCTTATTGCCATTTTCAGTGGGCTAGTGTGGAAAGTCATTCCCATAGCACTGAATCATGATGTCCATGCATGTCCTCGATAGCATGTCCTTGTGTCACTTCATAAATGGGCAGCTGGGCTGACTTGGCTCTTGCGTCTGGGATCAGGGCGTCCATCACAGCCACAGCAGCTGTAGCAGCAGCAACTGCAAGCAATGATCGTGAGCACCAGCACAGTAACTGCAAAGAGAAACAAAGGATATTGCTTCATAGCATAGGTACAGTCCCTGGAGAGTAGCCCTCTGTGTCCTCCAAGTTATTTGGTGAGCAGCAAAATTAGCAAATCCTGGTTTATTGAGAATTTTTTTCCCCTATATCCTCATCTTCCTCCTCCTGAGTTCCTGCTCCTTTGTATTGGTTTTCTGTTTAATCTGTACAATCATTACCGGGCATTTCAAGACCTTAAGAGCTACATTCCAAACCATGTGAGGGTTTTTTTACCCACTTAATGGCCTGTTGTTTGAAAGCTGACATGCAGTACCAAACGCACAGCTATGTGTCTGGAAAGGAAGAAAATCCAGCTTTGCATTTTTCAGTAACCAAGCTCGAGGGAGTTTGGTTACTCCAAGCGGCAGGTGTATTTCTGAAGAGGGAGTTCAGCGTACTCTTTAAGCATAGAAACTCATGACTGGGTTGGCTTTACTCTTCTGCATTTAGCTTGAAAAAATAAGATACTCCAAATGCAGAGGTTCATTTCACAGAACAGTGGGCTAACTGACTGTCCTCTACTCTAGCCAGGATGGCTGGTGTTGGCAGGGATGTGTTAGTTTATCTGGAGAAGAAAAGGATGGCATGTTCCATCCTGCAGAGCATGTAAGAGTGTGAGCATGCCTCTGTGTGGATGTGTTCCTTTAAAGCCTGGATCTGGGCTGCCAGGTAACCTGACCTGTGGGGAACCAACTGTAGGGATGAACCAAATAAAGCAGCAGGTGTGACAGTGTGAATTCCAGCCCAGGGAGGAGTGTCCAATTGAATACACACCCTTCCTTTTGGCCGGGAGCAAGCCCTGTCTTTGAGGAGCAGGGCCTGTCTTCCTTCCTGCTTATTTTCCCATTGTATAAACAAACTTCATCCTCCTTGACCCAACAGTTCTTGATCCAGCTGTTATTCTTTCTATGCCATCCCCACATAAAGCAGCAGGAGGGATCTTGCCATTACCAGAGGAGAATAAACAGACTCATCTGAAGCATACTGACTTCCACTGAGCCAATACAGGAATGACACTCAGAGCCCCTCTTAAGTGTCTTCTGTGGCAGGGAGATGCTCTAATACCATTTGTCATAAACTATCTCCTGTGCATCCAAACCTTACAGCAGCTCTGGTTAAAATTATTGCTGATTTAACTGATGTTTAAAATGGGAGCATTAGGAGCTTTAGGGGAAGCTGTACTGTTTCCTGTCATGCCCTGGAACCATGTAGAGGTACATGTTGAGCGTTAAAAAATTACCTAGGAATTAACCTGGGCCTTAGAGCACAGCCTAGAAAGCAACAGCCAACACCACCAACCCACCTACACAGCCTGTGGAGCAAGTTGCCCCCATAGTGGAGGAGAGAAATTCTGACACCCCTTTGCCTCCACCCACAAACTCACCAATAAACAGAAGAACCACAGAAAAGCTGACAATCTCCACTGGCTCAGCCTTGGGCAGTTTCTGGAGCTTAAGGAGAAACTTCTCAGCAATGGCTTGAACTTCCTTCAGAAAGCCTTCAGAAGACATTCTGTCACAACCTCTCCAGGCTTTATGCTGCAGGAGAACCAAACAGAGAATAAACTTTTTCACTGACTAATGCTAGGGAGCTGCCAGCCTTCTTATACAGCCAGTGATCACAAGGAAAACAAGTTTATCTGGTCTCAGTCCTTGTTCCCAGTAGCTAAGGTGGAGGACTATTAATTGTCTACGTGTTCTGGCACTGTTTTAATTTCAAAATCCAGCTTTGAGGATGTTTTTGTCAACTACACTGTTAAGCAAAGTCCAAACGGTGTTTCTTCTACAAGGACACTTCTTCCAGCAGGCACTGAGTTGGGCTGGACAGTGCCTGCCCTTGGCTCTCACCCAATCAAAGCTTTTTGTCCAGTTGTGCTAACTTGTTCTTCCAGAAACAAATGCAATTCTAACCCAGCTTGAACACTGAACTCCACTGTACATAGTCTTCAGTTGTCTGTTACTGAGTAACACCAAGCAGACTCCCTTGAAGGCTTCTTGCACTTTGAGCTACACAACCCCCTTCAAAAACAAAGGCATTTACCTCAACACCTCAATACAATAGCATTAATAATGTTTTATTAACCAATTTTACTGTATGTGATATTAAAAGTTAAGGTCTGCATTCACTAGGGACAGCTGGATGCTTTTCAAGTTCTTACAGATGAATGCAATTTTATAAAGAAAGCTAAATTTAGGGTTTTGTTTTTTTTGTTTTAAGCCACAGAGCAATATATGAATTGAACAGTGGATTCCACCCATGACTGCTGATGATGACCAAAGAAAAAGCCCCTGGATCTGTCATGGAGATATCTCCCATGTGGAGCTAACCCCTCCTGCCCTGCTCAGTAATCTTAGGCTTTCTTTATTCCCAGGATCGTCAGGAGGTATCACTGAAAATATTATTAGTCTAGTTAAAGTTAAATGCCTCAGTTTTGTCACCAATATTTGCTGTTCTTTTACCCCATGAGCAAGATTTTAGGAGGCATTGCAACAAACTAGCTGGCATGAGACTTATGGATCTTCAAATTTTGCTTCAGTCAGGAGCTGTGATTGGATATTTTTGAGAAAGAGCCATAGTTCCACCTAAAACAAGTATTTGGACAGGTCAACACTTGAATGGGTTATAACTCTTATTTCATTATTATATCAAAATCTACTGGTTTGTGTGTGTTGTAACAGGCAACACTGTGTTTTGGGACTTGAACATTGCAATTTAATATCCTGATCCTGGTGATAACACAAAGCCAAGTGACCAAGACAGCACTTCCAGAACAAACCAGCTAGTTCTTTATTGCACATCTGGCTTGGTTACTCAAACAAATGGATGCTTGGAGTTCAGTTTTTCTAAACACACTGAGGACAGAGAGACCTTGGCTGTTTCTTTGCATGCTGGGCTTAAGTACTACAGTGCCAAGTTAAATTAGTTTTGTATGTTTATGCAATTCAAAAAGGGTTTTCTTTGTTCTTTTAAATCCAAGCTAAGGAATAAAAATCTGAACCAGCTGGTTTCTTAGAATTGGGGGGTGGATGGAAAATCTGCATTCACAGAAAGATTGCTGTGCAATTCAGGAAAGAGGCAGAGCTGTTGTCTTTTGACCTGAAAAGGTCACTTTTTTAGACTAGGGTTAAATACTTCTTTCCAGATGATTGCATACCCCAAGTGAGCTTCTCCAGAACGGCTGCTTTATCCTTCGTGCTGCAGGATTCTGTGTCAACAGGTTTTCAATTTTGTTTCCATTCTAAGAGATGGTGGAAGAGGCAGAGGTGAAATGATTTGTGTTTTCTGTTCTCGGCTCTAGAAGAAAAAAATTCAGAAAATAAAATTTCTGGAATTAACATTGTGAAAATGTTTGTTCCCTTTGGAGGTGTTTCTGCCTGTCCAGAAGCTCTCCTCATAACGAATTTGCTGTAAACTTGCATGCCATACTTTGGGTTGCACCACAAGCAACAGGTTTAAAAGCCTGGCTTGTGAAATTTGGTTATACAGGGTAAAATTACTGATCAGGATTGTAGAACTCCATGTGGATTAGCAAAGTGCTTGGTCAAAAATGATAAAGTCTGTCTCTGTAATGGACATTCCACTCTGCCCATGGTACCTGATCTGGAGCTAAGTGAAGGAGTTTTTATTCTAAAACTTGCAAGGAATGTTGCTTGTTTACCTTGGTCTGAATTACATCAGGGACAAAGTTTGATGGTGGTGGTGCAGTCTCCAACCTACCCGTGAGGAAGCAAATGTTTTTCTGATTGACTGCACTTTCTGCTTTCTGGCTCTCTGCTTTGGGATTTCTGCTTCTGCAGCAAGGTGAAAGGGTGAAGAATAAAATAATTCCTAAAGGAAAAAAGTAAAACTCCTCCAAGAAAGCCAGTTACATTAATGGACTTCTGTATGTTCCATTCTACTTGTGTTGTAAAGTTTTTGTTCAGGACTAGTTTTGATGTGACCTTTTCCCAATTGATTTCAGTGGAACCAAGATTTTACCCTTGAGATTAGCACAAGGGTAAGGATAGTGTGATTTAAACGAGTTGTCTTATGCATCTGCCTCATTTACAACACAAAGGTGATGACATTAATTACAATAACAGAGTGGAGCTGTGAGAATTAATTCCTTTTGTTTTATTATATTGTGTGGAAATAATCTTCCAGCAGTGGTAAAGGCCAGGTGGTGCAGGATATTCAGTTGAAGCAGTAACTATGATGATTATTATTAAAACAGGGAGGTCTTAAGAGGTTTGAAAGTTAAGGTTGTGGGCCTTAACTGACAGTTTACTTTCTAGGCCTGGAGTGCTGTTTTAGAGCCTGGAAGAGCCACTCAAGTTAGTACCTCAGAGATTCTCAGGGGTTTGCAGCAAACATAATTGTCTGCCAGTTTTCCTCAATTGGGAATTTCTTCTTGCTCTCACTGTCCTTCCTCAAAACTTCACCCACTGAGGATGGGAGTCTTGCAGAGCAGAGGAGTCTTGGCTGTAGGGCAGCAGAGCTGATCTAACTCATCCATGTTATGGAAAAAACCCTGAATGACCACAGTGCAATGTGGTCTTCATAACACACTGTCAGAGTGATGTCAGGAAATTCTGCTCCACAGCTGCAGTCAGAGCTCAAATGAAGTGAAAATCAGATGAGGAGAGGCAAGATAAGACTCTCACACAGAAAAGAAAGTCACACAATGTCTTGTCACAGGCAGTTTGTGACATCCTGCTGGGATGGGGTGGTAGCCTGAAATTCATGGTTTTGACTTAAGAAAGAACTCATCCAATCAGTGATGCCAGTGGAACTAGATCATCAAACCTTTCTGCCCTCCTCTAATAGTGCAAGGCCCAGCAGGGGGAGGGAATAACACAAATCATTTAATTTGGGTTTATTTGGTTTTGATGAAAAAAAAAAGGCCCCTTCTGCCATGTGCCATGAGTTATTAGCCTTGGTTGAAAGGACAGAGCACAGAAATGATGCAGGGGAATGGCAAACAGCTGCAGGTGTGTGCTGCTCAGCTGCAAGGATTACATGACCCTGGAAAACCGAAGTGCATGTCCTGTGTTTAGGACTTACATAGACTTAGATTCCCAGAAAGCACTAATGCAGATTCATCTTGCTGTGCCCACTAAAGAAAGCTGTGAAAATTGCCATAATAGCACTGAAATTATCTTTCTGAGTTGTTTTAATGGACTCATGCCATGCTGAAGCACTCAAAGAAGTTGGCTGCTCAGCCCCTTGGAGAATAAAGCCATTAAAAAGCCTCAATCTAGACATTCAAGAGAAAAGCCTCCATCAAGGTTCCTTTTTGCTGTGAGCTGGCTGCACATGGAGGCTTCTTTTTCCAAGAAAAAGAGCTTTGAGATGACCATGTACAGTAGGGTCTCACATCCCTGTGTCTTCCTGAAGCTGGTGAGGCTGCTGTGAGTCTCTTGGAATTGCTGTACATTTTGGTTTTGCATTTTTGTTCTACATTTGGGTTTTTTGGTCTGTCCTGATCTCTGTGTGGACACAGCTGCATCCAAAGGTGAATTGTAGGGAGTGGGTGAGCTGAAATTTACTGCTGAGAATGAGACACTTGTTTACACATAGCCCTGGGGGTATTTGAGCAGCCTTTTTTAGTGCAAAAAGCACAAATTTAAGTTTGTGGTTTAGCCCCAGGACTGGAAGTTTGTAAATACAGGCAGTCTCCCTGGCCTGCCAGTGATGCTCCCTGGTTGTGTGACTTTGGGTAAGTCATCACATCCCACTGTTGGGTGACTTCATCTCTGCAAGACAGCAGAACATGGAACCACATCAGAGCTTTGTTTGTAATTGTTGTGCGTCCAAGTTTCCAGCATGCTTGGGAATTTTTAGATAGAAAGGCAACAAGTCCCTGGTTTTGCTGCAGTTACAAACTGAACTGGCCATTGTTTTGCTCAGTACTTTGTACACTTTGTTCACTGAGCCTGTTTAGGATGGAGGTAGATGAAAGTGTGGTTTCCACTCCTGTTTGCTCCTAACCCAACCATATTCCTCATATTGTTCTTGCCATAATCCTCATCCATTGGTTTTACTGTGCTTGCATGTGTTTGTTGCTCTAGTAACCTACAAGTGGAGATAAATCTTTGAAAGGGGGAATTTTGGGGGGAACAAGAAGCTGCCAATGCCTCTAGTCCTAATGCAGCAAGTCCCAGTGATGGTGAGTTGGCTCTCCTCCACTGCCCACAGCAGGATGGCTCAGGAGACCTTACCAAGCAGAACCTTCCTGATGTTCCCATCAAATACAATGCCAGGGCAACATTTTCATTGCAACCTTGGCTTTTCCTTTAGACTGGGGCTCTGAAGAAGCAAATGTTGTGTTGTTCTTACTCAGACTAGTCCAATAAATTGGTTGAAATTGGATCTGTACAGGGATGGGAAGCCTGTATGGATTGTGGGACTTATCTGGTAGGAGACCTTACAAGGCAAGCCCAACCTCATGGAAGGAGGGTGCTGAGCAGCCAAAGGGGAGGGGATGCTTTTTATTCTGGTCTAAAACTCTAAAATAAGCTCTGACTGTACTTGGCCACTTTTTAAAGAACATGAAGGCTTGGCCAGTTTCAAAACGTACCAGCTTTGTTCTTGGTCCCTGAAATGTCCTTCTGATTTTATATGGATAAGGCCTGCAGTGCTTCCTGTTCTCAAACAATGCTGGGTTGCTAGGTGTGCCTACAGTGTGGATGCATTTTGGCTTAACGTGTCATAATTCCTGCATGATTGTTTATTGTTCTAAGCTTTTAGTGTACTGCTGAGATGAAAAGGGCCATAGAAATGCAGTTGTATTATCAGTGCATGGTTTTCCCTCATCATTGTTCATGCAGTGTTTGCTGCCATGACTGCAGTTGACCAGCCATGTGAATCTTAACTATAGTTCAGACAAGCCTATTTTTCTTAAAACAGGAGTGCACAGAGCCAGACAGACCTATAATTCATTCCCAAGCAGATGAAAATAGTTTCCAGTATCAAGAGAATTCAGCCCTTGAACAGCACACACCCAAACTGGTAAATTGTAGCTCAATGCCACGGGAGAAAAGCTGGGACTTTGTCAGTTGGTTTGGAACAGAAGGCCACAAATTCCTGAGATTTTAAAGCTGCCCTGCCTGGGTCACCCTTTGGCTGGAATACCCTGTCATCTCCACCATCCACTATTTGGAGATGGGTTTTGAGGCAGCCCTGTAAAGTGCCTTCTCTTCCCTACAACCTAATATTAGATTAATGTAAAAAGGCACTGAATTCCCAGTTTCAGTAGCAGAGGTACCCACTGGGGCACTGAGCTGGAAGTCTTTACACCTCTGCAGATCACCCTGGTTTTCTCCAGTCCATCCCACAAACACGTCCACAAAACCCCATGAGATAATTCCTCACTACTAGAAAATTTTTAAGTGGGGAAACCAAAACACTGAGCCATCCAATGAAAGGAAAAGGTCAATTTTAAAAATAAACCTGTAGCTCTTCTACAAGAGAACTTTTTTTAGGGTTGGTGATGCTTGAATCTAGTCTGAAAGTCTATTCTAATATTAGCAAAATATCCATTTCCCATGAAGCTGACTGAGAGGTAGCTGTGTGCCTGTGAAAGCCTTTTAGTGACTTCACAAACACAGTGGGATCTATCAGTAGTTGGTGCTTGAGGTCTGGCATCTGGAGGCCCTGAGAGTGCTGGAAACTCCTCCACCTTTTAACAGCCACCTCTGTGCTCTGTCCTTGATCTCACATCTACAAGTCTCCTAAATTACACGCATTTTTGAGCTTTTTGAAATATCCTGGACTAATCCTAGTCAAGGTGCCACTGGGGGTGTAGGAGCTCAAAAATCAAAATCTGCAGCAGCTGCTGCCTCAGGAGGAATTTTTTGGAAGCCCATCAGCTGTGGCTGCATGGGGCAGTGGGGTGGGTGCTGCTCCCAGTCCCTGCTGGCCCCTGGGTGCCTCTGGCCCACTGCAGGCTCTGTGCTCAGGGGCTTGTCTAACAGAGAGGAGCCGCTCTGTCAAACCTGGATTATTTTGTACCTTCAGTTCCCACACCCACTGTTGGTTGCAGTCATGCTGAGGCCCGTGCAGTGTGACAGCTGTAACACTAGCCATGTCCTGCTGCTTTTATCCAGACATGTGTTTCACATTGCTGTGCCTCTCCCCCCACACATGAACAGCATGGCTGCAGCTGGACAAGCCCCCAGCCAAACCCATTAAGATTTTCTTTTGGCCAGGAAAACTTGGCATGTTTCTCCACCTCCTTCCCTCCCCTACCCTTCTCTCCTCACTCCTCCCTCCTTATTTTTTTCTTTGTTGCTTTGCTAAACTTTGTTTTTTTCACATGCTTTATTTAAGAAACTCTCTTAACTGCAACAACCAACCTACAGAGACTCTCCATTACAGGGTGGAAACTTCCCTCCATCCCCTTGAGCCTTAGGGCCAGGCTGGAGGCGTGTGGGTCTGAACTACTGCCTCTCCTCACTCAGGCAGTTCCAATTCCATGTTTGTACAACACTGGGTCAGAAAGACCTGCCCTCCATTCCTTGTTAATGGAAATGGAGAGAAGTGGAAATACCTGATCCTTAACATTCCTCCCTACAGGCATGTGTAGGATTGGGAAGACCTTTTTCTGTGAGAATTGGCTTTCTGCTGCGGTTTGTAAACAGCTGACTGCCCATGCGCCTCCTGGCAGAGGCTGAGGGGTCCCAGCTCAGTGCTGGGAGCTGCAGCAGCTTCCAAACAGAAAAGTCAGCTTCAGATAGCAGAAAATGGGGATTTATAAGGCCAGTCTCCATTACCAGCTCGTAGCCAATAGTGGAGATGGGAGCACAGGTGGGACACGTCTGTAAAACCAAAGCTTGGACACAATGGCCGAAAATGTCTTTTTCAACTTAAATGATTCTGTGTTGTATAATTTAATGTATTTAGGTGATCCTTTTACTCTTCCTTCCCTTCTCACTGCATTCAAACTTGACGGTTTGGTTACTGTAAGCCATGAGCTGTGTGTGTGCATGAACGTGCCTCTCAGAGCAGTGCGTTCTCGTGCTGCTTTGAACGCTAAACCAGCATCTGTGCCTGATACGCTGGCTGAATTCTTCTTCTTTTTTAAAATGTTCTCATTAGCAACCCTGTAAAATCTTTCCGTTTATTTCTATTGGACACAGATGCTTAACTTGCACAGCGTGCTAGTTCCCCGAGTAGAGCTTGTTTTCTAAGCTCCCTGCTTCAGGATTTGGGGGATAAAACTTAGCTGCAGCTGGGAGGAGCTCCGGGAAAAGCTGTGGCTGGCACCCGTCGGGTTTCATACGCCTGTGCTCCCCGCTAAGGGCACGCACAGCCTCGGACCCAGCTGCCTTGTCCACGCCGCCTATTTCTGTATCAGGTCCCCAGCTTATCAGGACATACATTGTGTACGAGCACAGAAACCCGAGCAGCCTGCCTGTGTCACCGGCAGAGGAGTTGCAGAGTCCCTCTCGGGCTCGGAGCTCCTTTTGTTGCAGAGCGGCTGCGGCGCAGCTCTCCGCAATCCCATTAAAAGCTTTTCTCCTGCCACCTTCGCTCCTCGGTGTCCCTGGCAAGCAAATTCCGCCTCCCAAGCTCTGATCCATGGCTGACCGAGCAGGGGGAGCTCCCCAGGCGGTGCCGCGCTCGACCGAACAGCAGCGATAGCTCAGCCTTACCCCGACCGCGGGCTCTGCTTCTCCTCTTGTTTTTCTTTCGTCTTCTTAAACTTTCACGTCATCTCTCCCCTCATCCTGGCTTGCGGCTCGCTGCTCGCTCGGCTCCTCTCTGCTCCGCTGCTGACAGCCAGCTGTTGTCTCTGCCTTTCTTTTTTTTTTTTTTTTTTCGTGGAGATGCGAAGTTTCGTGTTACATGTGTGCCAAAGAGGGAGGGAGAGGAGCCACCGCAGGCTGAGCCAGAGCCGGTGCCAGCTCCCCGGGGCGCCCGAGGGCCGGCACTTGTTGCTGGCTTCCTCTGTGCATCTCCTCCGAGAGAGGAGTTCCTTCTTTACCTTTTAATGACGCCTTTTTCTGGCGTGAGACTCGAATCGATTCCCTGCCTGCGATAGTTTGGGGCGATGTCAAAGCCAGTAACTTTTCTTTCTGCTGCCGGTTTCCTTCCGGCTCCCGGGAGAAGGAGCTTTTCTCCTGTGCTCATTGAAAGGGCAGAGCAAGTGCTCGCAAGGACAGTGCAGCACTGTGAGCGAGCAGCGGGGACAATGCTGGGGCAGTGAATTTGATGCTGGGATGGTGAATTTGCTCCGTGCCCTTGGCCAAGAGCTCGTCTCTTGATGCTGAGCTTTTCGCTTCTTGTATTCTGGGACAGCTGACTGTCACTATCTTGTCTCAGAGGGTGAAGCTCGGGTGATGGTGAAAGGACACAGTCCTTCAGACAGGTGCAAAATTAGAAGTTCTCATCAACCTCATGACTCGCTCTTCTATTTGATAAAGCTCATTAAGTGGCTTTCGCCTGACAACTGCATAACTAATTTGCCCTCATGATGATTTTTACTTTTTTTAACCCTTTCACTTCACGTTATTCCAAGACTTCCTGAGTTGTTTATTTCAGGGAGCATTTCTGATGAGGCTCTGTACCCTTTGGCTTATACAGGGGAATGCTTTATTCTGGTGGTTTTTGGGAGAGGCAGAGCTGCTTTTGGGATATGTGACTTTGCTTCTCTGGCTGTCCATCTGCTTCTCCTAATTGCAGGAATAGGGCTCCTGTTTTATGTGGTGTATAAAAACTTGTGTGCCAAAACGACACAGGTGCAGGCAGCTTTGTGGTCAGTTTAGCACTTTCCTGAAATGCATTGCCACAGACAAAAATGTGTTGATAAACCTTTTTGTTATTTGCTCTTCATCACATTCCATAATGTTAATGAGTGGGGGAGGGGATGTCTGAAATGACATAATGATTTTGTTTAGGCATTTCAGAGACCAATGGTCAGCTCATACATACTCTTTTTGAAGAGCGAAGGGAGACAAATAATACAGTTGTGTATTTAAAAGATGCAATAATTTTAGGACATGTATAATAATACAAACTACCATTAATTTATGTAAATCATCTCCATCTCGTGGGCTTTAGTCAGGTGTTGGTGTGACAGGGGAAGCTTTCGCCTCACATGTTAATGCATAACCAAATGTCTTTCAGGAACTCTTGTGTTAAGTATTAATCCAGTGATTAACCCCAGCATCCCTGTTGGTAACTTTGTTTTTTGCCTTTTGACCTTAATTATTTGGATTGCAATTTTAGTTTTGCAACTGAATTTCCGTTGTGGCCCAACTCCTGAACACCGTTGGCTAAAGTGGGGCTGTGGCCCCAGTCTGGGTAATTCTTCAGGAAGAAAAAGGCAATTACAGTAGGCTGGGTGGGAAGGGCTTGGCTTTACAAGCCTGATGGGTTAGAAACTGGAACTCTAAATTCTAGTGAGCTCACAGCTGATCTCTGCTTCCACCAAAGCCCTCCCGTGGGGCAGCTAAAGGACAGAGGTGTGTGTAGCTGTCCCTCCTCAGCACAAGCCTGGTGAGCTGTGGGAGAGGGCTTGTCCCTCACTGAATGCCTCAGTTAACTCTAACACAGATCAGTGCGTGCGAGGGGAAGAGACACGGACTAATGAGAATGCCTGCCTGTTTTCTTTGGGGGAAACAAAAAGCTGACTGCAGCTCGCTGACATTTCTATAGTCACGTTGCATTGGCAAGCCAGGCAGCACCAGTGGTTCTTTTGGAAAGGCAGGACAAGGGTATCGAATGTGTTGCCCCCATCTCGGTCCCCCCACCCTTGCCCTCCATGTGAAAGGAGCTCTTTGAGTGCAGGAGCAGAGTGAGTCAGTGTGGCTCTGCAGGGGGATATAATGGCAGCTTTGTCGGAGCCTCTGCAGCCTTCGGTGCCCTGCACGGTGCAGACACCCTGCTGCAGCCCCTTACCTGAGCACTGCCAGCTCCCTGCCACTTCAGCACACTCAGGTCACTGCTGGGGACAGGAACCTGTGCCCTGCTGCTGTGCTGCCTCCCAGGCTGTGGGAAGGAGTGAGCTAGCAGCCCCTCTGGGGTTTGTTTCTGATGCTTTGGTAACGTGCAGTTGTGTTCTCTCCAGACACACACAGACACAAGTGAAGAAGAAAACTGTGTTTCTTAGATCTCTGGCAAGTTCTGACGTGCCTTAAAGGGTTTAGAATAAGAGTAAATGAGGTGCTCGCTCTCTTCCTTTCCCCCTCTGTGACCCACTTTTTGCAGATGAAGTTGGGAAGCCCACTAGGGCACACCTTGGTAGAGAAGAAAATTTCCACTTCGTTCTCCCTTGTAGTAAAATAATTTTCTTCTAAAATAACTTTTCTTCCCACTTGGCTGCAGGATTTGATCTCTAAATGCCCAATGAAGTGAATGTTTTCATATATTTATTATCAGCATTTTGACTAACACACAACCAGCCACCTCTGCTGAGAAACTTTAGTTTTAAAAAGCTTCTCTAAATTCTGCTTTCTTAAAAAAAAGCGGGGGAAAGTAACTGCCTGATCATTCTTTGGCAAAATCAGTGTGTTCCCTGGTTTAAGTTAGGGGGTGTTTTAGAAGAGAAATTACTTCCTGCCTGTATTGCTCATGAGCATATTGACACCAAATTCTTTTTTATGTACCCCAAAACACTGATGCCTGCCAAAAATATTTTGAAAATTTCTGGAAGAATCTAATAATCTTCTCATGACTGGTTTGCTAATCTTGGTAAACTGGTTGTGCAATCCTGTGTGAGCAAAGGAACTGGTTTTCATGCGTGTAGGACTCTACCCAAACTTTGGGTGCTGATCTGGAGCATGTGTGAGCCCATCAAGGTCCTGGCTGTGTTATCTGAATGGTACTCCCTTGTGACCTCACTCTGGACTCTGTTCCTGAGACTTTCCTTACATTCCTGTGTCTTCAAATATATTTCTTCACCTTCAAATCACAAATAATAAACCTAGAAGCTCTTCAGTGTGAGATGTACTCTGAGGTGTGGTGATCTCAATGGGTCCTCTTTACCTACAGCCATCCTGATAAGACATGGAATATATTTAGCCAGTGATACAGAATTAATAACTGTGTATTTCATCCTTTTGAAGATCTCAAAGATCTGAAAGGGTTTAGCAGAAGAGATTAACATTGATATTTTTTTTACATATGGGGAAGTGAGGCAGAGAGACTTTAAGCAAGGTGCCAGGAACAGAGCCCGAATTCTGCTCCAGGGATTAAACCCTGTGATTCCTGCTGGAATAGACATTCTCTGTGAAAAAATAAGACTCAAATATTTATTTTTATTTCTTTTTTTTTTTTCTTAAAGACACCCTGCATTTGGAGGGTGGAGTTTTTGTGGATAGAAGTGATGACCAGATGCTTTTGCCTTGTGTTTCCAAGCTGTCGCCACGCTGCCATCGCAAAGTACTTCGGCGATGTCACCCCACCTTGCAACAAGTGCTGTGACTTCTGCAAGAACCCAGGGGCAGTGAAAAGGCAACTGGAGGCACTGGAGTGCTGCAGCAACAGCTGGAGCAAAACCTGCATCGGGCCCACAGGATCCTCCTGGGATAGCTCTGACCCAGAGCTCTACGAGGGCGGGAGGAGAGGCCTCAAAGGCTTCAGCAGGTCTGTACCAGAGAGGTTACACTCATCTCACAGCAGCTATCAGAGAAAAGAGCATCCACCAGCTGCAGGCCCAGACACTCCTATTTTCAGCACATGTTTCTGTGTGGATGGTATTCTCCTGTAACTTTTTGGCAGCAGCAGTTGGAATTTCATTTTCCACACACTTTGGCAGCCTCGTTCACATTCGTGTTCCAGAGAACCAAAAGCTGTTTTGACAGAGCTAAGAATTGCCCTGCACAATGTAATTGGCTCAAGAAACTAGCCTGAAATTTTTGAAAGCAGCAAGTGGGCTCAGCCTCTTCATAGTCACAAGGATCAGAAATGTTTAAAAGTGAGACCAAGATGACATAGTCCAGAGTTCATTCCTGATTTAACACAACTGTCTGTGAGCCAGCAGGCCAGGGGCCACTGACAGGACTTAGTCACCACAGAGGATGTTATGAAGTGCCAGTGTCAGATTCTTCTGCAGATTCCTGCATTTTCCTCTGAGGCTGACAGCAAAAGGAAGATGTCCAGTGGGAAACATGATGAATTCTGTAAAATGCTTGGCAGTGTGGAGGTGACAACTTCTCTTTCCTCTTGTTCTCTGGCAGAGTTGCAGTGATTGTCCAGCTGTGTCAGGATGAAGTTTCTCTGCTGGCACTGCCCATGAAGCTGTGCCAGGATACACAGTGCACAGGCAGGCCAGGCCCTCTTCTTTACCTTAAAAAGCTTGGGATTGGTACCTTTGTTCTTTGGCCAAGTCCAGCTGAGTCAGAGGAAACCAGGACTTGTGACCTAAGCCTGTGTTTGGTCTCAGGACCTGAGAAGCCACAGCTAATGCTGTTGTACAGAACAGTGTTTGCTACTTGGCTTATTGAACCTTTCCATGATCTGATTGTAGTTTTGCCTTGGAAGTTGTAATAGTCAGCAGCTCTAAAGCTCAGATTTGTGATACCTGTAAGTTTGGCAGCTGTGGGAGGCAGTGAACTCCTGGGCTACATCTGGTGAGGATCAGCTGCTGCATTTCAGTGTAGTAGAGATGGAGATTTCATTTATTGCAGCAGCCTGTGAACAAGTGAGGCTGAGGAATGGATGTTGTGCCCTTTCTGCCATCTCTGCTCCCAGGGCAGGAGGGACTGACAGATGGGGTACATGACATGAGGCAGTGACTCCTGAACCCCCTGGGAGCATCTGGCAGAGCTGCTGAAATGGAGCCCTCCATTCTCAGGGCA